GATTGCATTTCTCCTTTTTGGCCCCATGTCGCTGCTCTTTGTTCGCGCGCTGCGCAGCGGCGCGCGACCTCTGCTGGGGCTCGGTCCGTCCCGCGCCCGCCTGCTCTGCGCGGCAGCAAAGCCGCCGCCATCATCTGGCAAAGGCGAGCCCGCAGGCACAACGACAAGTCCACACCGTCGACAACCCGCTGGGATGCTTTTCCGTCACTTCTAGCGCGCCGCCATATAGGTGAAGAGCGGGTGGAGGATTCCATCGCGACGACAGCTTCGACGCAGGAGCGCGCCCCGGGAGGACTGGCTGTCTACAACGAGGACGATGAGAATTTGCCGCCCCTGAAATTCGAGCCGGGCGTCGTGGGGGCAGCGCAGAAGGGCGTGTCGGCGGTTGTCATTGCATTTGGCGCGTGCGCCTTCGGCGCATGCTTCTGGGGCGTGTCGCAGGCGCTGTTTCCGTCGGCGACGAGCACGCAAGTTATTTTCAGCGAGGCGCTCGACAAGGCGCGCCACCGCCCGACCACAGGAGCCAGCGGCAAGGCGCGCACACGTCCGCCCAAGCCCTCGGCCATAGGTGTCCCTCGACGCGACGGTTGGGTACGCGCTCGGGACGCCACTCAAAGCCTGGGGCGCAGACCGCGGCGGGGATCGCGGCAGGCACGTGCGCGAGAGGGCGGTCACGCGCGTAGAAGGCCAGGCGACAAACGGCCGGTCCTTCTCGCTACAGGCGCAATGCGATGGAGCGCTGGGAAACCGAGGAGGACGGGCAGCCCGTGGTGACGATCCGGTTCCACGTGGCGGGTCCGCAGGGCACCGGAGTCGTCGTTGCTCAAGTGCCTCAGAAGAGAAAACGCGGCGAATTTCGGTGCGCGGCTGGCCCGCGCCCTCCCAGTGGAGTAGCCCCCACGACCAAGCCATCCATCCGTTGCTGCAGGTACATCCTATTCGAGCACCGCCGCAAGCTGATCAGTGTTCTAGACAATCGCACCGACGCCGCTGCCCTCCCTGCGCCGTCGCCCGTGCCTGCCCCGTCCGCCGCACCGTCCGCCTAGAGGATGCAGGAATCCGTGGTCCGGGGCTCCGGGCGGTTCTTTCGCGGTATCCGCCGTATACGGCGGGATATGCGCCGGATACGTGGAGATACCGGGGGATAGGGCGGGATATGGTATGGGGAGATATGAGGACCCGCGCCGTGGCGGATCGGGCGCCGCGACCCGCTGAGCCGGGGGGTCGCGGCGACATGTACGGTAGGCTAGTTCCATTTCACTCTGACACGCTAATCTTGAAAACGTCCAACGGAGCTCCGTGTTGCTCCCAGCGCCCTCCCCCGCGCTTCCTGCGGCCATGGCCGATGATACTAGTATGAGAGGTCATCTGGCTACCGCGAGCGCGACTCAACTCGCCGACGTCGTCCGATGATTGTGCCTCAAAGTCAGCCTCCGGAGGCTATCGTGGGGTCGAGCCGGCAGTAGCCGTGACATGTGGTTCCACCACCCCTCGTATGCTTTGCCTCTGACCGCCACCGTTCCCAGGCTGCCAAATGGGATGGAAAGGAAGGCTCGGCGAGCGTATAGAAGCGTGCTCGACCTCGTCGTGGCAACCTGCACGGCAGCGCTGGCAGGCGCGATGAGCGTCGTGCCACCTGACCCGAGACGGGTCGCAGGCGTCGTACCGAGCGCGTCGAGACCGTGTCCTGATGTGATCTGCACGGGTGAGTCACGTCGGCGTCAAAGGAGCGACGTGCGACCTGTCAGAGCTTGATCTCCGATCTCAGCGGCGTCGAGTCGTCTCCGGCGCGCGACAAAGGTACATCCCCAGGACGCGCAGAAGGCAGCTGCGACCCATGGGAGTGGACGGAAAGGTAGCGCGTCGCTTGTTTGACGTTGACGTGAATTACGCGTGGAGATAACAGCAGGTCAAGGGTTCGACGATGTAGGTTTGTCGCGCGATGGCCGAAATCGATGTGTTGTAACGCGAGCTGTGCCACAGTGAAATGGAACTAGCCGTAAGGTAAGGTAAGGTAAGGTAAACTTCTCCACACACACGAGGTGGTGGGGCAAGGGGGGGCAACCCTCGCGTCTCCACGTCTGACGACAGGAGCCCCACGGCATTCAAAGTGCAAGGCCCAGTGCGCGTGGGTGAGCGGTGTGTGTGTGTGTGTGTGTGTGTGTGTGTGTGTGTGTGTGTGTGTGTGTGTGTGTGTGTGTGTGTGTGTGTGTGTGTGTGTGTGTGTCTCACGTCACTGCATCCTCCGCCGGTTCCTCCCGTCGCCTCTTCTGCGATCACCCCCCATGGGTGCCCTTTCTAGTCATTCTAGTGAATGAATTGACTCGTCCCAGTGGATGTGTCCGATTTCCGACGTCCCTGTCAAAATGTGCGTGACGTCCGATCCTTTGTAATCGTCTAGAGACGCTGGACACATGAGCACGGAGCAGGCCGCTCCCGGCCCCACGCTGCGCCCACGGCCCGCGCGGCCGGCGCAGCCGCCCGGGAGCTCAGGCGCTACCGCTCCTCTTGCGCATGGTAGCGGCCTACGGTCCGCATCCTGCCGTCCGGACAACCGAGCCCAACAACCGGCGCCGGACAACCGAGCCCACGTCCTCGTCGCCAACAATGCCATGTCCGCGTCGCGCTCGCGCCACTTCCTCCGCCGGTACCACACGCTCCAGCGCCGCATGGCCGAGGGCGAGTGCCGCGTCGTCAAGATCGCAGACGACCTCATGCCCGCCGACTTCCTCACCAAGTGGGTCGCGCGCGACAAGCTGAGGCGCAGCGTCGACTTCGCCACCAATGCGCGCGCGCGCAATGGGGGGGATTGACTCCACAATGCCGGCTCTGCGGCGCCCGCCGCCATTGGGGGGGATGCGATCACCCCCCATGGGTGCCCTTTCTAGTCATTCTAGTGAATGAATTGACTCGTCCCAGTGGATGTGTCCGATTTCCGACGTCCCTGTCAAAATGTGCGTGACGTCCGATCCTTTGTAATCGTCTAGAGACGCTGGACACATGAGCACGGAGCAGGCCGCTCCCGGCCCCACGCTGCGCCCACGGCCCGCGCGGCCGGCGCAGCCGCCCGGGAGCTCAGGCGCTACCGCTCCTCTTGCGCATCTTCTTTGTTCGAATGTTTTTCAATCCATTCTTTACGAAGCCCTCCCATGTAGCTAGCGTTCTTGGCGAATGTCTCGAAATGGCCAGCAGGCGCTGTCTGCTCGCGGTCTGTGCGGGACATGTACGTGTGGCAGCGGAGAGAGATTCCGTGGCCCGTTAGGCCGCCATTTAGCGTTTTCGGGATTTTCATACATCGAGATCTCTGCGGGACACCAGTAGATTTGTTGAGTGGAGATCGTAGATGCCGATCAGAGATCTTCCACACACAGCATCTCTCACAAAACTCAGAGATCTTTAACTGAAGATAGAGATCTTGAGCTGCCGCCATCGGCACCTCGAGATCTCAGGCCGGAGACGGAGATGTTGACTTCGCGCCAAAGGCGCCTCGAGAATCGTGTGGCCGACTGGAGATTGCAAAATGGCGCGAAAAGAGGGTGGAGATCCGCTTGAAGGTGTGAAAGGAAAAGAGCATCCCCTTGGAAGGACATCGATCCCCCCCTGACACGCCTCCCCCACAAAATTGGAGATTGGAGATCGGAGATGAAGATCGGAGAACGCGCCTCCTTGTTATGAGCGCGCCGCGATGGAGCTCACCTCGTTAGTCTCTGGCATGACCGAGTTCGCCGCGAACCTGTATCCTCTAAAGACCGAGGAGGAGCTCGTGGCGCTCCTGAGCGGCATGCACCACTTCCCACCTGGCGTGCCTGAGCGTGCCCGTCGCGTCCATGAGCGGCTGTACACAAAATTATTTGTTGATGGCAGCGCGAACCACACGATAACGCCCCCAGTTCGGCGTACATAGACCGCGCGCGCAGCGCGCTCCGTGTTTGCATACCGCCCTGGCGGACTCGTTTACACTTCCAAGCTCAAGCCAGGCGCCGCAGGCCATAAAGAGGAGCGCAGATTAAAATGGCGCCGCAGGCTCCCCGGGCCGTCCGCGCACCAGTAACCTTTAAAAAACAAAAAGATCATCACAGCGGCCTCTGTGATCACCAATCTCCAATCTCCAATCTCCAATCTCCAATCTCCAGCGTCGACACATCTTAGGCCGGATCCAGTCAGATCTCCAATCTCTATCTCCAATCTCCAATCTCCAGCGTCATATTTTGCCGGATCCAGTTTAGATCTCCGATCTCCATCTCCAATCTCCCATCTCCAATCTCGATTCGGGGGGCCGGGGGAGGGGGGGGGGCTCGAACCTTCAAGGAGATGCGCTATTGATTCATTCACACCGCACATCTCCGATCTCCGATCTCCAATCTCCCATTTGACCCCTGCCGCCGCCAGCTGCGATCTCCAATCTCCAATCTCGATCTCCAATCTCCGCCCCAGTGGTGGATGCCCGGCGCGAGGATCTACGATCTGTGTTCTCCATCTCCAATCTCCACCTTTGACCCTGGCAACTGCCAACACGATCCACAATCTGTGATCTCAATCTTTCATCTTCAACCAAGCCCGACTGTGTGGTAGAATCGGCTAGGATCTCCACTCCTGGTCTGCGATCTACTGTCTGCGATCTACTACTCTCTCGCAGAGATCTCGATTACTCGGGATTTTCGTCTGACCCCCCCCCCCTGGCGACGAAACCGAAGACGCTCCCGGGTGATTTCGCGCGGGGGTGGGGTCTCACGTCTCAGCACTCAACTCTCACGAAGCCGCCGGCCCGCCGCTGGGCGCTGCACAACGGCGCGACAAAGGCGACAAGGGTCTGCAGGGACGCGGGGTCCGGGGAGGTTGCCCTTCATGGGTAGATCGACGTTCGGGCTTCGGCGGCTCACACCACGTCGGGAGACGTGTCAGGTGTCACGCAGGTCGCGGCGGTGTTTTTGCTTTTTCGCGCGCGGCGCCGGCGGCCCCCGCGCGCGGGCGCGCGGCTCCGCGGCTCCTCGGTGGAGCCCGTGGCCGAAAAAAGAACAAAATGGAGGCTTGGTGATGCTACTTGGCATGCGTGGGAACGGATACTGCCAGTCGCTGATAACTGAGACACTGGGCCCCACTGTACATGCCTACCTCAAGCAGAGCGGTGAACTGAACTCCGTTGTGAACACACGAGTCTCGAGTGAACGGGCAGGCACGTCACTCTCCCCGCTCTCTTGCGCGCGCCCTGGCCCGGAGTGAGGCCTACTTTAGAGCGGCGGCGTGGAACGCGAGGTGGTCGGCGATGAAGCTGGAGATGAAGTAGTACGAGTGATCGTAGCCCTCCTGCAATGCGTGCATGCGGGGGCGTATGTCGACCTCTTGGGGTGGGCGTCAGAAGCGTCTTCACTGAGGCGCTCCTGCATGCGCAGCTCGAGTTCGACGCCGCGCTCGTTGCACACGGCGGCAAATGTGTCGGGGCGCAGCTGGTTGACCTACCGCGGCCAGAGCGAAACGGCTACTGACCCGCCAAGCAGTGGCGCGATTTATGAGCCGCCGCTAGCACCTCCCCGGAGAGAAAGTTGTCGGCGGCGCCCTGGTCAATCAGTATCTTGAATGGGGGCCCCGAGTACTGCCTCATCAGCTCGGTCGCATCGTGCGCCGCGCCCGCCTCCACCGACCCCAGGTAGCCCTTGAAGGCCTTGTCCCCCCACGGCACCGCGGTTGGGTTGCAGATGGGCGCAAAGGCGGAAACTGAGCGGTACATGCCCGGGTTCTTGAGAAAGAGGGTGAGTGCGCCTGGCGGGGCGCGGCATGCGGGGCGTCGAGAGCGCCGCTGCGCCGAGCGGGGCTGCCTCGGCAAGCCGCGCCGTGCCCGCCCATGGAGTGACCGCAGATGGATGCCGCCGGCGACAGCTTGCCGGGGTACGCGGCCGCCACCACTTCCGGCAGCTCGGCCTTGACGTAGGAGTACATCTGGTAGTGGTCGCGCCACTTGGGCTGCGTGGCGTCCACGTAGAAGCCGGCGCCCGAGCCAAAGTCGTACCTCGCGGCGCGGTGGGCGGCAGTGTGAACGAGCGGGCGGCGGCGGCGGCGCTGCGGGCGGCGTGGCGTGGTCGCACGAGTCGTCCGCGCCGTCAATCTGCACGCCGCGAGGTGAGGTGTCGGGCATGACGACACACAGGCCGAGCTGCGATGCGGCGCGCGCGAAACCGCTCTTCTGGTGGAAGTTCTCGTCGGTGCACGTCAGGCCGGAGAGCCAGTACACCACCGGCACAGGCGCCGCGGCGGCCTGCGGCGGCATGTAGACCGCGAAAGTCATGTCGCACGCGCAGGCGCTCGAGCGATGGGTCAGCCGCTGCAGGAGCCCGCCGAAGACCTTGACGGAGGACTTGACCGTGGCAGCCATATTGCAAGTGCTCCCGGAGGCGCCGACGTTGGTCGAATTTGTTTTTCTTTACGTGGTTCCAACCCTGTTTCGACTGTTTGTTTGTGCCCTTGTTTGTTTCTCTTGGCACCTTGGAGTGCTGGGGGGGGCGACAGGAAGGATGTGGCCCTGAATTATGTGTACGCCAACCCAGGGTGTGTGGCAGCCAGCTGGCTGTGTGTCTTGTGAGCTTGTTTGTGTCTGTGTGTCGCTCGTGCGTGTCGTCATCATCTGTCCAGCGTCCACCCATACCGCGTTGGTGTCCAGTCCGAGCCTGGCTGTTCTTCACCTTTCTACCTACCTACCTACTTTCGACTGTAAAGAACGCTGCTGGTTGGCGTCGGTTGCGTAGCACGGACTCGGGCCCGGTGCTTCGACGCAGCACAGTGTGCTTCGTGGTAGCATGAACTCAGAACGGCCCCCCGAGAGCGCCTCTTCGACGCCCACGGGTCCCGGGGGGTCAGAGGGGTTGCGAGAGGGCCCCGGCTATTTTTTGTTTGAATCCCGGAGGCCGTTAGAACATGAATTGACGTTCCACGTGCCCGTCCACAGCCACGGACAACATGCTAGCCCAGCAGGCCGCTCCCACCGCCGCCCGCGGCGGAGGCAAGGCGGCAAAGGGTGGCAAGGGCGGCGGCAAGGGCGGTGGCAAGGGTGGTGGCCGTGGCGCACCAGACTCGCTTTGCGCCGCCGCCCTCAACGCCCGATACTCGGTTAGAGCCGGCGGAGCGACGGCGGCAAAGGTGCGGCCGCCGGCGACCTCATACGGTGTCGAGCGCCGTAGAGACGGCCCCGAGAGCCGCCACCAGGTGTGCCACGACCGCGGCCGCGAGGCTCGTGGGGATGGATGCGCCAGACCCGCTTTGCGCCGCCGCCCTCAACGCCCGATACTCGATCAGAGCCGGCGGAGCGACGGCGGCAGAGTTGCGGCCGCCGGCGACCTTCCCCTCGACCACGCCGCCGACCCGTCGACAAGCACGCGTGGACTGCCATCGAGAAGAAGGAGAAGGAGGGCGGCGCATCCGGAGCCCGCGGGCGCGGCGTGGGCGGGCGCGGGCGCGGGCGGGCGCGCGGGAACCCCGCCAGCGGAGGCGACAATGCCTCTGGCGGCGCTGCAGGCGGCGCGCGGCGCGCCCCTCGCCGGTCTCCCGCACGCTCCTGAGGGCCGAGAGGGCCGAGAGGCGGGGTCGGTGACCCGGGGGCATGGGCGGTGCGGCCCGCGCCGCGCGCGGGCGCGTGGCAGCCCGTGAGTGCCGAGATCGGGTCTGTGCTTCGACGTAGCATGGGCCCCCGGAGGCCCATCTACAGCAGCGGCGAAGTGAGCGTGTTTGTGGTGTTGGTGTGACGTCTGAGCTTGGATCTGTGACTAAAGCCGCTTACCACTGATGGATCCCCACCCGAATAACACACAGTGAGCGCCCCAGCACTTCACTACGCCCTCCGCGCGAAATCGCTAGTGGTGCTTTGTGGCAGCACATTGTGCTTTGTGGCAGCACGGGTGCGGTGCCCGAGACCGAGCACCCCTCCCCATCCACGTTGTTGGTTGCTGCCCCAGGTCCCGCACTATGTAGGTGGAATGCCCCGTCCGTCCGTTCTCAGGATCACGCTTGTTCGGGTTACGTGGTTCGTTCGCCCGTCCCTGCCTGTGTCCCGTCCACGTCGCCGCCTCGGCAAAGCCGACGACCTATGGTGCAATACAGCTTAAGGGGAGGACGCGCCGCTCGATGCTGCGGCGGTCGGTGTTGGCGATGGGGCTTTCCTTCCGGTACGCGGTCCCGGCGGGCCGTGGTACTTCAGTCAGCCGCGCGGAGCTTCCGCACTCACTCCCTAGTCAGTCCGGCGAGTTGGTTGGTTGGTTGCTGGCATCATCCCAGCACTGGGGGGTCCTGAGAGCTGTTGGTTGGTGCTCTATTCACAGCACAGAGTGCGAAACTAGGGTTGCAACCTGGTAAAGAACTCGCTCGCAGTGTGCGCAGATCATGAAAAGAATTTAACGGAAAAAAATACCACCGACAAAGAATTCGTCAGACACTCCTGTGAGCTGTGTGGTGGCGGCGTGCCGTCCTCCCATCCGCCATCCCTCCCTTGGCTTGTCTATTTTCTTTCTTTCTTTTAGAATTTCAGACTAAGGGGCGGTCATTAATTTTACAACAAAAACGGGCGGTCACAAAGCACGATTCACGCGATAAGCAAGGCGCGGGCGACGGCTTCCTCACATCCTCAGAAGCCGTCGCCCCCACACAGGAGCAGTCACACGACTCCCACGCATGCACTTGTGGAGCACTTGGAGTGCAGTCAGTAACCTCACATCCAGGGCCGGGGAGCTGAGAAGCGCATCCAGCGGGCCGGATGATCGGTATCGGGCTACGGGCTAGAGAGCCCTGACCCCTAGCTAGGGGGGGGGTGCGCGTTCGCAGGGAAAGGGCCGTAAAGTAAATACGGGTCTCCGAGGGTTAGCCCCCGCGTACCGGGTTTCCCCTTAACTGCAGGACGCCCCCTCTACTCGGAGCTAATGAACACCACACTGCTCTCGGAGCACTTGGAGTGGGCGGTCATTAACCTCTCACGCCCAGGACCGGGGAGCTGAGAAGCGCACCCAGTTGGCCGGACGCTCGGCATCGGGTTACGCATGAAAAGAAATTAGTTGAGGGCATCCTCCCTCGCGTTGGGCCATGGCTTGAGGTGCACTTGGGTTGTCTATTTTCTTTCTTTTCTTTAGGGATGGTAGGGTCTTAGGGACCATGTGTGTGGGCTGAGGGGTGTCTTCAATCCGTCCCCTCACCCCTCGTCACAACCCCCGAAACAGAAGAGCGGCGAGAGTTGGGGCTGCGGCTACGGCTGCGGCTACGAGAGCCGGAGAGGCCCGCGCCGGGAGGGATCAAGAAAAAAGAATTTCGCCGCCGAAGCCCGGAAAAGTGTGTTCTTTTTGGACTGGTTTGCACGAACCACGATCGATTTTCAGACCGCGAAGTCCTAGACGGTAGTTGCGATAGCCTCTCCCGCGGACCCGCGGTGGCCGCTCGAGGCGAGGGATTCGTCCCTTTGCTTAAACCCTCACCCCACCTTGTAGTACAAGTCACAATTCGGGCACGCGCCGGACCGGACGGCCCGCCGCTGCTGGCGCTGCCCCTCCCCCTTCTCGGCATGTACCTCGGCCGCCACCCCGCTCGCTGCATGCGGCACCGTATCCGAACCCCGGCGGCCCATCCCGAGGCTCTCAGAACGAGCCGGAGCTATTGTCAAACACGATCAGCGCAAAGGCGAAGGCCTGAAGCGCCGAGAAGGGCGCCTTGAAGTCCACATTGAACTTGTTCTCCTCCACCTGCGCGGCCGAGGCGGTGGTGGTGGGCGGGCGGGCGGGCGGGCGGCGACCCAGGCGGGGCGTGCGCAAGCTGGTGGCGGGTGCTGCTGGGCAGGGGCGCTCGTCCGCCTTGCCCATGAGGAACGATACGTCCGCCTGCTCGCCGTGCTTTGGGTGCAGCTGGATGTTTTTGCACGAGGCGAGCGTCGCGCGGCCGTGGAAGTCGAGCTGGTACATGTTGGAGGTGGGGTTCCACTTCGGCTCGCGGTTCTTGAGCTCCATGAGCCCGCCGAGGTCGCCGCGCTTGAGCCGCTCGTTCAGCTGCCCCGCTGCGTCCTTTGGCCGCGCCGGCACCATCCCGCCCTCGCTGTCCACCTCGGGCACCACCACCGTCATGGCGCCCGGGTTGCGGTTGCGCAGCGAGTTCGAGAAGTTGACGTGCAGCAGCTCGCACCGCAGCTCCGACTTGCCGCCCTTCTCCTTGCCGTCGAACGAGGCGCCGTCGTCGTAGAGCGTGTACTCCTGCGCCTTGCGGTCGGAGCGCACCTTGCCGACGTACGACTCTGGCATGCTGGAGCTCGCCTTCGCGCGCTTGGCGTCGTCCTGGTCGAGCGCGATGGAGTAGTAGCAGCCCTTCGACACGGACCACTTCTTCGCCGTGAAGCAGTACATGTCGTCCGTCTTGGAGATGGACATGAAGAAGTCGAAGCGCGCGCCGCCCATGCGCGACTTGTGCCGAATCACAAAGCAGCGCACGGGCACCTGCGCGTCGGGGCAAACGCGGCGCCGCCGGCTCTGCGCACGTGGCGGCATGTGGGGGCGCGCACGCGCGCGGCTCAGGCACGGGAGGCTGCGCGTGGCGGGAGCTGCGCGCCCGACACGTGGCGGGCTCGGTCAGCAGCCGCTTCAGCTCGGTGTGCGACGTGCCGAGCAGCTGCTGCAGCACGCGGCGCAGCGCGTCGTCGCTGCTGCCGACCGGGCCGCCCGCGGGTGGCGCGTCGATGCCGCGGCTGCCCCCATGCTTGGGCGGCGCCACGACCGCCCCGTTGGACGACCCCCTCCGGTCGAGCTTGCCCTGGCCCTTCTTCTTCTCCTCGAGGTAGAGCTGCTGGTACTGGTAGTCGAGCGGGTGCTGCCACAGCACCTGCTTGGTCACCTCGTGCATGTAGTACAGATCGCCGTTGGGCGACTCGCACTGGTCCCACCCCTCCGGGTCGTCCGCCTGCAGCGCCTGATCCGCGATCCACAGCAGCCCGACGTCCTCGCGGAGATCCATGCCGAGATAGACGGCGTACTCGAGGACGTCCTGCGCCGCGCACGGGCGCAAATCGGTAACGAGGGCAGCCGGGGACCTCCGCCGCAGCGGCGATAGAGGCGGGCGGCGCACCTCGGTGCCTGAGCGGAAGCGCACGCCGTCCGCCTCGAGCTCCTGGAGAACCTATTGGTGTGCGCCCCAGCGGCGGGTGAGCCGCGCGGGAGGCGCGGTGCCTCGTGCGTTGCCGCGGGGTTTCGCCTGCTTGCGCAGCACCTCCTCCTCCTCGATGGCGCGCTGCGTCGCCTGGGGGGCGGGGCGAAGGAAGGGTGGCTGGTGGGGGGCGGGGCGAAGGAAGGGCGGCTGGTGTCATGAGTGCGACACCTCCTCCTCCTCCGCTACTGAGCGGCGGATGGACTCGGCGTCGGCCGTCTCCGCCTCCTCCTGTATCCGGCTCTGCTGCTTGATCAGCTCCTGAAAGTGGCGACGCGAGTCGCATTGAAGAGGGAGGGGGGGGGGGGGGGGGGGGCCAAAGAAAAAGGGCCCGGGGGGGGCCAACACCCCCGCCTCCTTTTGCCGAAACTTGGCCCCCGCCTGCTGTTTGAAAAGGGCCCCGTCTCGGGAGGCCATTTCCCCCTCGGGTTTCCGCCGCTCCTCGGCCACCTTTTTTTGGGCCTCCGCCGCCGCCGCCACATTCTTCCGCTTGATTTCGGCGAGCCTCGCCTCCTCCTCCTTGCGCCGCTTCTCCTCCTCCTTGAGCGTCGCGAGCCGCCGCTCCCCGCGCTCCAGCAACGCCCTGTCCGACTTGCAGCCGGCGGCGCGCTGCAGCGCCACCTCGAGCGCAGCTATATCGGCCGCGCCGATGGCCTTCTCCAGCGCACCCTCCGCCTCCCTTCGCGCCCGCAGCTCCGCCACGAGCGCCGCCACGCGCTCCTCCGCGCCGGCGACGCTCGCCTCGCCCGCCGCGTAGCGATGCACGCCGGCGGCCCGGGCGTCCGCAATGGCCGCCCGGAGCGCCTCGACATCCTCCTGCGCCGCAGCGGACAGCATCGCCTGCAGCGCCTCCTCGCGCACACGCCGCAGCTGACGCGCCGCCTTGCGGGCGATGTGGCCGCGCCCGGCCGCCTGAATGGCGACGGCGACCTTTGCCTGCATCTCGAGCCGGCGCGTGCGCAGGCCCTCGAGCATGCCCGAGGCGAAGAAGACGCGCGCCTTGCCGCAGCGGAACTTTTGGCCGGGCACGCCGAGCTTCTGGAGCAGCGCCAGCACGCGGTCCTTGGGCGCCTTGCCAGCGAGCTCCGCCTTGGTGCCGAGGCCGGGAACCACGAGGAAGTTGCCGCAAAACTCGTCAAAGGGCATGCGGTCGGGGAATCCGGTGCGGGCGACACGCAGCGCGTCGAGCACGCCAGACGTGTTGAGCTGGCGTGTGATGACGGCGTCCTCGACCAGGTCGGGCTTCTTCTGGTCGTTGGACTTGAAGCAGCGCACGAAGTGCAGGTCGCACTTGTCGAGCGTGCCGACGAGGTCCGTGAGCTGCGCCGAGAAGGTGTCGGTGACGCCCTTGAACTTGGTCGACTTGAACTTCTTCCGGTCGCCCGCCGCGGGCGCCACGTCCGCCGGCTCGGTGAAGAGCTCCTTGAGCAGCTCGTTGTCGGAGAACTGCATCAGCACGACGAGGTCGCCGTTGAGCGGGTCCTTGTTCTTGTCGAGCCAGGCGCGGGTGCCGTAGTTGACCAGGCCGGCAAAGTGGTTGATGCCGAAGCCGTCCTTTGGGCCGACGCCCTTCATGCGCACGATGATGCCGCCCTTTCCGTGCTGCGCCATCACCTTCTCGGTGAAGCCCTCGTCCGACCCCTTTGGCACGACGCACTCCTCGCTCAGGATGGCGAGCATCCCCGTGTTTAGCGCCTCGAGCGTCTGGATGAGCGCGCCGTTGTCGGTGTAAGAGATGTCGGCGGCGTCGATGCCCTCCTCCGAGTAGGCGCGCATCGTCTCGGCGAAGACGGTCTTGGTGAAGAGCGCCTGCAGCTTCTCGTTCGCAAAATTGATGCACAGCTGCTCCAGCGAGTTCTTCTCGAAGATCTCAAAGCCGAAGATGTCGACGATGCCGATGACGTGGGCGGTCGCCCGCGGCGAGTAGATGTTGCGCGCCTCGGCGAGCGCGCGGTTGATCTGGACGATGAGGCGGTCGAAGAGCTTCGAGTAGATGGCCTTGGCGAGGGCGTCCCGGTTGTCGCCCGCCGCGACGAGGCTCAGGTCCTTCTCCACCATGTCGCCGCCAACCTTGAGCTTGCGCTTCGTCAGCGCCTTTGCGAGGCTGCCCTGCTGCAGGCCGAGCACCGCCTCGCAGCCCGCGACGGAGGGCGCGCTCGAACCCTCGACGGCCGCCGCGTCCGTGTTGGCCGCGTCGAAGCGCACGTTGCCAAGGAGCAGCACCCCCGCGATGAGCTGCCACAGCTCTTGCAGCGCCGCGCCCTCCCACGCCTGCGCGGCGAGCGCCGTCTCGAGCTCCGCCCACAGCATCTTGTCGGTGCGCTCGCCGCCCGACTCGCCGGTATGGCCGCCCGCCAGATAGGCGTACGCACTCGGCTCGGCCGACGGCAGACGCAGCTGCTTGAGCAGAGCGGGCGACGCGCCGCGCAACAGCGCGTAGAAGCAGTGGTACGAGCGCTCGCCCGGGCCGCACTGCGTGACGCGGGTCTTCTCGAGGAGGTAGGTGTTGAGGCTGGCGCCCTGGATCCGCGCGCTCGGGTCAAAGTTGAGCGCCGTGAACTTTCCCATGCGCGACGAGTTGTCGTTGCGCACCGTCTTGGCGCAGCCTGTCCGCCCAGGCACCGCGGTGGTGAGAGAGGAGCGGAGTGAGCGCGGGGGGCCGCGGCGAGCCGTGTGACGCCGGCGGCCCAGGGACTGCGGGCTCTCACGGTGCCCTCTGGGTGCCGCACCAAAGCCCTCGGTGATGGGGTCGGAGCCGTAGAGGCGGGTCTCGAGCTCCGGGCTGGTGTTGCTGACGTATCGGAGGTAGAGCATCATGTGGCGCGCGGACTCGGTCTTCCCGGCCCCCGACTCGCCGCTCACAATGATGGCCTGGCTGCGCCCGTTGTGGATCATCGCCCGGTGCGCCGCACTCGCAATCTCAAAGGTGTGCGGCGGCTCGGCTGGGAGCGAGTGGGCATTCTTGTACTGCGCGAGCACCGCCTCCGAGAAGAGGCCCATCCTCTTGTACGGATTGACAGCAATGAGCACGGAGCCGCAGCGCGTGTAAATCGCGTCGTGCGCGTGCCGCGTCCGAAGCTTGTCGAGCACGAAGCCGGCGTCGATGGTGTCGGCCTGGCCAAGGTCTGGCGTGTCGCTGGCCCCGGGCTCGCGTGGCAGCGCGCCGTCCGCCATCGCCACAGACCGGGCAGGCAGCCGCCGAAGGAGCAAGGTCCCCTCCGAAAAAAGAATTGAGATCTCTCCCTTGGGTTGTCTGTTTCCTTTTTTTCTTTCTTTTGGGCACGGGACTGGCGCGCACTGGCCGAAAAAAGAATTTTACAACCTAACGGTGTTAGTGCCAGTGTTGCGCGCCAGTCCCGTGCCCAGTGTCGTGCGAAAAAAGAAAGAAGTCCGAAGAGCCTTGGGGGAACGTCTATCCTCCGCAGCCCTAGTTTGGGATCCTACCTAGCTTCCTTCATTTCTTGAGCACTTGAGCACTGGATAGGGTCGATTCCGCGTGTGGTACGGGACCCCTCGATCGTCTCGCCCTCCCTCACTGGTGTATTCATCGGGGGGGTCATAACAAACACGGTACAGGTGAGAAGGGCGGACGGAAAAACACCCCCCTTTTATGCCTGACCCTGGCCATGGCCTCTCTCCACGCCCCACGGCCGCGGAAGCTGCTCGCCGCGGAAGCTGCTCGACAGGTGCCTCGCAGCTGCGTATTCTCGTATTATCTTCGAGTAAGGTATTGCGTGGGGGCGGGGCGTATTCTCGTATCACTAGCTCCGAGTAGAGGGCAGCGTCCTGCAGTTAAGGGGAAACCTGGTACGCGGGTCCAACCCTCGGAGAGTATTCTTTAGCTCCGAGTAGAGGGGGCGCTCCGCTGCTAGGGGAAACCTGGAGCGCGGACTAACCCTCGGAGACGTGTTATGGCCCTGCGACCGCGCACCCCCGGGGCTAGGGCTCTCTAGCCCGTAACCCGATGCCGAGCGTCCGGCCAACTGGGTGCGCTTCTCAGCTCCCCGGTCCTGGGCGTGAGGTTAATGACCGCACTCCAAGTGCTCCAAGTGCCTCGGGTTGTGATTGGCGACGCCGTCGCCAAGGGGGAGTGTGTGTCGTCGCGTGTCCTTGTCTGGTGTTTACTAGCTCCGAGTAGAGGGGGCGTTCTGCTGCTAGGGGAAACCTGGAGCGCGGTACTAACCCTCGGAGAACTGTGTTTACTTTAAGGCCCTTGCCCTGCGAACGCGCACCCCCGGGGCTAGGGCTTTCTTGCCCGCAACCCGATCCCGATCATCCGGCCCGCTGGGTGCGCTTCTGAGCTCCCCGGCCCTGGATGTGAGGCTAATGATTGCACTCCAAGTGCTCCAAGTGCCACGGGCGCGTCGCACCGCATGGTGGCCGCGTTGAGTAGCTACTGGGCTGGGTTTTTAGGCATTGTGGGGTTGGCACTCCCATCGACCCTCATGACCTCCTGCGGTCTCTGAGATGGACACCAGTGGGTGTGGGGCCACAGCCAGGATACACTCGAAGGCTGGGTAAGCAGTAGAGGTCGATACTCGACGCGTCCCACATGATCTGTGTCGCTGTCGGCACGCTGTCGACAGGACGTCGAGCGACACCGGTGGCAGTGCCACCCAGGAGTGGTCGGGCGGTCTCCCGTCATGAGAGAGCCACCATGTGATCCGTATGATGGTTCCTGACAACCGCCTCAGTCAACTTTCGTCACAGTTCCCGCTCTGAGAGGAGCTGAGGGTCAGTTCGACAGCTGGAGCTGTGTCGCCGGCGTGCGGCGGCCTGCCTCCGGAGGTGCCTCTGAGGTGGACATTTTTTGGTCACCGTGAGAGAACGCGTTCGAATTTTTACTCCGGAACTTCAACTCCACACGCGCACCGGCCAGGGCTACAATAGTGCCAGTGAGGCGGAGGCGCGAGTCGGAAGGCCGCGACCGTCAAGTGTTTTCGTCATTTTCCTACAATCGCTGTGAACCCAGCCACGTAGGGTAGGTCTGGTGTGTGCGTGCGTGTGTGTGTGTGTGCGTGTGTGTGTGTGTGTGTGTGTGTGTGTGTGTGTGTGTGTGTGTGTGTGTGTGTGTGTGTGTGTGTGTGTGTGTGTGTGTGTGTGTGTGTGTGTGTATGTGTGTGTGTGTGTGTGTGTGTGTGGGTGTTTGTGTATCAGCCAAGGGACGGGTTGCGGGCAAGAGAGCCCTAGCCCTGGGGGGTGCGGGGAGGACCATATTACGGGTCTCCGAGGGTTAGTTCCTGCGCTTTGGGTTTCTAGCTCGGGAAACTTTCTTTTCTTGGCTTCTAGGAAGCCGTCGTTCCTCACAACACAAACCCCACACCCTAACCCTAACCCTAACCCTAACCCAGACCCCACCCCGTAACCCTAGCCCCCCCCCACCCCCCCTCTTCCAGCACTGATCCTCCTCACCCTCGCCGCCCCTCCCCTCTCTCCTGCCTGTGCTGCCCCGCCCCGCCCCACCCCCGCAACCCCACACCCTAACCCTAACCCTAACCCTAACCCAGACCCAACCTGGTTTGTGGAGCTCCCGCACATTACCTAGAGAGCACGGCATTCGGGGCCATGATCTCGGTTCCGCACTGGACTTTTTTTGTAGTGGAGAGAATTAAGGAATCTTTCTGCTCTGGCAGGCAGCTGCATCATTTCCCTTTACTTCAATCAGCTGTGTACACTCAAGTGCTATTACTGTCTGAATAGCTGTCTAGACGCTCCGATTTTGCTGTCTGGACGCTGTCTGGACACTGTCTGGACGCTGTCTGGACGCTGTCTGGACGCTGTCTGGACATGGAAGATCGCATGAGGTGTGAATAGACCTGCAGACAGGAATCATACTCTGATACTCAACAACACGTCGGCCAGCTGTGAGCGATCAAAACTTGAGTTGCATTCTCTTGGTTGTCTACCCATTACCCAAGAAAGGGTTGGCGCGGTTAGATGGGAGGTAGAATGTCTACCTACCGCAGGTGGGCATAACAGCCATAACAGCGATGGAGGTTCAATACCTTCATAAAAACAAATGCATGTGGCGTGTGTGCGTGTTGCGTGTGGCGCCTTTCTCTCTGCTCTGCTCTCTCTCTCTCTCTCTCTCTCTCTCTCTCTCTCTCTCTCTCTCTCTCTCTCTCTCTCTCTCCACGCCACACGGCACGCCACCCTCCGCCCCGCACTCGCCGCACTCACCGCGCGCCACTCGCACAGCCCGGGTCGGTGCACATGGAGAGGCTGGGCGGGCAAAGGCGCCCGGCTCTGCGGCGGTGGTCGACGGCGGTGGCTTCGCACGACGCAGCGAGGCCGCAAGCGATACGTTGTCTCGCCACGCGCCGGCAAAGCCTCAGTGCCGGACACACACATCTCGATCCGTCTCGCCACGCGCCGGCAAACACCTCCGCGCCGCCAGCGCCTCGGTCGCAAGGACCGGCCGGTGAGGGATATCTCGGCGGCACCGGGGTGGAGGCCGATCTCACCGTGCCCTCCCGTACTTGACCTTCTGCTTCTTGCTCGCCTCTTGCGCGGCGTCGATCGGCTCGTCCGGCTTGGAGATCCAAGGGTAGACGTATTGTGTCCAGGCGTAGTAGAAGCCAATGCACGGCGGGACCACTGCGACGAGCGCGAACCAGTCAGAAAGGAGCCCTGTCGCGAGCTGCACGAACATGGTCGTGTAAAGCAGGTCCCACGTGTACTCAATCACTCCCTTGCTGTCCAGGTCGGATCCTGCGGAGATCAGAGCGCCGCCCTGCGCGAGCGGAGCATGCCTGGGAGAGGCGGCCGAGGCGAGGAAGCGGTACATGGCAAAGTACAGGCAGAGCATGAGGAGCTCGCCCGTGATGTGCCACCTCGAAAAGGAGTCCCAGTGGTACCACACGCGGTAGACACAGTAGATGGCCTGGCAGGGACGGCGGGCGGGCGGCGTCGACGCAGAGGAGGGATATGCGTACGGTGCCACACATCGCGCACATTGCACGACAGGATCTGATAGAGCAGCCTCGCTAGGTAGGCCTGGTTCTTCAGCAACAACTTCTTGTTCGCCTCGTTCGCCATCCCCAGCAGCTGGCGCAAGGGTTCGGGCTCCTTGCCCGGATGGTGCTGTGCGTGTTGGATAAGGGTGACACGAGGGCTGGGGCGTGAAGGGCGTTTGGCCGAAGCCCAACCCAACCTTCACACACACTCTCTCCTAGAGTCCCGCGGCGTCGTCCTAGAGTCCGGAGGTCCCGTCCGTCCCGTCTCGTGACCGACGCTGACCGACCGTCTCCGTACCACCAACCAAGACTCGCTCGACCTACAATCCCAGAGCCACACTACATTAGGTGCTCACCTCAACACCTTGGGTGCAGTCCCTCCGACCCTACCCCCGGTGCCAGTGTGGGCGCTGGCCGGCACCCTAGGAGCTAGGTACTGAGCCCTGGTGTCGAGGTGTCGAGGCCCGGTGTCGAGGGTGTCGAGCTGCTGTCGAGGGATAGAGGTGTCGAGGCCTGTCGAGGCCTGTCGAGGCCTGTCGAGGCCTGTCGAGGCCTGTCGAGGCTGAAACCATGCTTGTCCGTGTCGAGGGGTGTCGAGGGGTGTCGAGCGTGTCGAGCGTGTCGAGCGTGTCGAGCGCGAAGGTGGGGTATATACCAACTAAAGTGATGGGTTGGTGGTACTCTCCTGCAACCACAGTCCTTCCTGTGACATGGCAGGCCACTCTCAAGCCCTACAAGCATCAGATCACCCACTTGGGGAGGGTTGACATCGTGGTTTGCGGAAATTTCTTTTTCTGCTGTGAAAATTCCAGCGCGTGAAGAGAGGGGAAAACCCGACGGGAGGGCCCAGACCTACCCTACCTACCCCGTCATGAGGAAGAAAGAAAGAAAACAGACAAGCCAAACGAGGGATGGGAGGACGACAGGGTCCCACCCACCTGACACAAACCCACCTGCCTCCTGCACGAGCAGGATTTTGGAAGGACGATCAGGGACACAGGGGAACGGGAGTGGGGAGCGCATCGCGACACGGAGGGGGGCTGGGCAGGGTTCACCCACACGGCAGGGTCCGGCATGAGGGCCGGCCGAGCAAAAAACCGCCAAGTTCGGGTTTTTTCTTCACAAACTCTCTGGCACCGAACAAACCCCGTCTGTGTATATGCTCGCGGCGGCAAAAGCGGTCCTCGCGCCGCGCGGCACGGTGCGCGCCGCCATCAACATGTCCAATATCCTCCTCGTCACCAACCGCGCCGACCCGGCGCAGCCCGGCGGAGTCGCGCCTGACATGGCCGCCGCGCTGGCCGACGCGCTCGGCGCCAAGCTGCAGCTGGTCCCGTACAAGAACCCAGGTGCGCTGGCGGACTCGGCTGGCGCCGGCGAGTGGGATGTGGGCCTCATCGGCGCCGAACCGGCGCGCGCCGCCATCATCGGCTTCTCGGTCAGCGCAGCCACGACAACTCAGCGATTTGCTGCCCGCCCCCTCACCACTCCCTGGATGCCTCCCTGCCCGAGGCGCCATACGCTGAGATCGAGGCGACGTACCTCGTGCGGCCGGGCGTGCCGTTTCACACCGCCGCCCAGGTGGACACGGAGGGCGTGCGTGTGGCGAGCTCGAGGCGGTCTGCGTACACGCTCTGGCTGGAGGACAACCTGCGTGCCGCGCAGCTCGTGCAGACGGAGGAGCCCGGTGCCGAAGGCTCGTGGGACCTCTTTCAGGACCGCGAGCTTGAAGCGCTGGCCGGTCTGCGTTCATTCCTGACCGGCAAGGCGGCTGAGCTGCCGGGATCGCGTCTCTTAGACGACCGATTCACTTCAATCCAGCAGGCCCCGGATTACCGAAACCGTCCGATGCATTGATATTGCTTGAGATGACAGACCACCCCTGCTCGATCCCAGGCTATCGGAACGCCGCGCGGTGACGCGGCGGCTTGCGACGCGGCAGTCGCGTTCCTGGATTCGTTTGTGGCCGACGCAAAGTCGTCAGGCCTAGTGGCGAACCTGCTTGCCAAGCACGGCGTCGAGGGGAAGCTGTCGGTGGCGCTCCCATGAGACGAGAGCTTTGGCGCGGCCACGGAGGGGGAATGCAGTGGCCGAGAGTGTGGACCATAAAAAAGGGGTCTTTGTGCAGGCTCCAATGAAATAGAATGTGTCGGAGCGCGGTGACCGGTGTGCCGCGTCTCTCCCTAGAGTACGGGTCTCTGTGCTCTCTCCGGCTGGCGGCTGGTGTGTGCGGTGAGTCAGCCGGTCCTTTCCAAAAAAATTGCGTTTACCCTGCGAAAGACACTACTCTCCCCCTCCCGTCACTCGTCCCCCTTGGCGTGGCGCGCCTCTCCCCCAGCTCTCGGTATAAATCGCGTACTGCACGAGGCTACCGTGGGTAGGGGCAAACACTGAAAACGTAACTTGATCGGGGCGCGGTTTTTTTTGGACTAGACTGCTCGGTGGAGGTGGGCGAGTGATTGGGTAGCTTTGGGGCCGCCGAAAATAATGAGAACCGCCCCCTATATCTCGCCAAATCTCGATTTTTCGCGGGAATGGTTGCTTCTCAGCCCCGCGCGAGCTACAGTGACTCCCCAGGGCTTGTCCCGTGGCCCAAAGTGGTACCCCGAGCTCCGCCACGATCGTGAGCAATCAGGAGACACCCACAGTCACGGCGGGCGAGGAGTTGGGTGACGGCCAACTGTCGATTACGGCGCCTCTGGAGCCTCCTGTATCGTCGGTTCGGCTCGAAGATCGTGCCGCATCCGCATGTAAACCACCTCCGCGCCCCCGCTGGCACATGTCCGCATTGCCCGAGCCTGGGAGAAGTTCCCAGTGCCCGGAGGCTGCACAGGTCCGCGAAACGCTGGCGCTGCAGCTCCCGGCGCGCACCCCAGATTCGCGAGGAAAACAGCCGAAAACGGTTCGCGCCGCGATCGACCCTCAGCGAGCCCAGGCGAGCCTGGTAATCCCACCCGGTGGTAAGCGCACGTCCTCCGCGTAGTCTAGCGCGCTGTGCAGCCCGCCAGTGCATGGCGCCGACCTGGGCCGACTGGTCGATCTCGCCGCGATCTCGCCATCCAATTCTCGGTCAGGTGTAGTGGATCACCTTAAAATCCTGGATTAATTCCTGAGCCCACCTGGCCCCACCAGACGGGTGGCACGAGGCGCCCGGGCCACTTTTTAGCGCCTCCCGAGCCTCCCGGCGCCTCCTGTGGCCTCCTGAACCCTCTCCCCCGCAGCCTCTCTCGGCGACGTGGGGAGCGGCTGCCGTCCACGGCTCGCACCGGCTCTTCCAGCGGCTCCACGCTTGCCGCCTGTGACGCCCGCGCCACGCACTGCCACGCGGCCGCTCGAGAGAGCGGTCGACGCCCATACTGCTGGGCGTGGCGCTCTATCGGTCGACGCTTCGGCGTCGCTGCTTGGTTGGGGACCCGTGCCTCGACGCGGCGGCGCGGCCGAGTACGGCTCGGTGGAACAGCGCGTCGCCACGGATGAGACGCGGCCACAAGCGGCTGGGGAAGCTCCAAGAATGTTTCGTTTTACTTGCAGGAGAGGTCCAAGCAATTCTGGTGACTGCATGGCTCTTCGCGTCGAGGGATGCGTCCAAGATGGGATGCGTCCAAGATAATGAGTTGCTTGATTGAAAGCGCCGTGTCTTGCGGCACCGGGTCATCGATCCACGTGATGTGACAAACTAGCCGCTATTAATGAATATGGGAATGTCATCTAAAGGGTGTGGATGCTGGGTTGAACAAAATCGAGGGACGCGACCCACTTCGCCACAGACGGTCCCGCGCCTCGCCGCTATGACGGCCACACGACCGCAGCTCGTGTGCGTGTGGCCGTCTTTGTCCGGAGTGAAAAGTCCAACGCGCTCGTCGGTGACGGTGTGAGGTTAAACCACGCTACCAGTGCTTGGTCACATCGGCCCCGAGGTCAGATCCATCTACTCTGTTGATGACAAGACTTGTCTACCGGCTGGAGCCGAGCAGGAGGGCTTGGGCGCACAACCCCTGTTCAACTCACCCTCCACACCCCGTAGTTAAGGCAACCCGAGCGACAACTCACGCGCTTGGCGTGTGTGTGCCTGCTGCTCAAGCGGATCATATATCCCCTCCGTTTTGTGGTAACGCGGATATGAGCATATACACAACACACATACCACGGTCCGTCTGCATCCTCGGCCATCTACCGCCGTGCCGCAGAGTCAACGTGCATGTGCCGCAGAGTCAACGTGCATTGCGCCGTGGGCGCGCCTCGCGCGCCTGTGGCGCCGCCTCATCAGCCGCCACGCCTGCTGCGGTTGCCCCGCGCTTCTTCGGCGCCCCGCGCTTCTTCGGCGCCCCGCGCTGCCTCGCCGCCGCCGCCGCCGCCGCCGCCGCCGCCGCCGCCGCCGCCGCCGCCGCCGCCGCCTCCGCCTCCACCTCCATCTCCTTGGCGAGGCAGTTCTTCAGATAGTTCGAGAGCGCGGTCTGCCCGACGTCGTGGTCGATGACCTCGAGCTGCACCAGCGTGCGCGTGATGTGGGCGAGCGGCTCCGCCGCCCGAGCGGCGGCTTGGCTGAGCAAGGACGGGACGAGGCCCTTGGCGAGAGCCAAGTTACGCCACGCCGGATCGTCGGTCGGAGGCTGCCATCGCTCGCGCAACTGCGCACAACACGCACACACGGCTCAGGCAGCAAGGCCGAGATAGAGCCGAGATATAGCCGAGATATAGCCGAGATATAGCCGAGGTGTAGCAGCCGCGGCGGCGGCTCGGGGGGCGGTGGGAGAGCAGGGCGGGCGCCTGCTTGTAGCGACTCGACTGCAGCAGCACGACGTTCATCCACTGGTCGACGAGCGTCGGGACGGCGACCCACGAGCCGTCCGCGCCGCGGCCATGTAGCAGCACGAGCAGCGCCCATGCGTGCACCTCCGCCTCGCTGGGCAACGCCTTGCCCGAGGCGCACAAGATCGAGTTCCTGCGGCGCGCGCGCGCGGCAAGAGCTCGCCAAGGCGGGGCGAGCGCGGCCACGGCGAGGGGGGGCACGCACCGCTTCGATTCGGGCGCCCCGCGCTGCAGCGCCGCGCGCCGCTCAAGCTCGGCCTGCACGTTCTGGAG